AAACTACATGCCATGGACTAATGGCTTCAAAGACTTCTAAAATAAAGGTCTTCTGACTGCTTTGCTTACATTGACGAGCATTTGATATTGAGATGTATTGTCTTGTCTGCATTAAGTCGTGTGTCCTGACTGTTGACCTAGTTCAAAAGGTTCTAAATGTGAATATCATTTTTCATTATGGTCCAGACTCAGCAAGGCCTGACTTAAGCACAGTCTTATTTTAGGCACCTGAATAATCTCCTCAGGTTAAAGTCAGATCAACAGGAGCTCAGCAACTCTGAAAATCAAATGCTGAATCAGTAACTTATTAGCATAAATTTCTTTGTTGCCTCATTGCAGAAGAGGACTTAGAGCAGACTTGCCAAATGCTCAAAAATGTTGGGTTCAGAAGTGCTCAAAAATGATGGGTTCAGCTTAAAAACTGCAAGGCTTTTAAGAAAATATTAAATTTGAGATTCTGGGTATTTTAGGATTTTCAGTGTTGCCATAAGAAACAGCAACTCAGCTTTTTAAAAGAGATTCTCACATACTCTGTGAGGGGAAAAAAACACATTTGTGGTATGACTTACAAGAAAATAGCAAGAGTTACCAACAGTGCAGAAATTTGGGAAACAAAGCAACAAACATACAAACTACTCACAATCCCTGTATCTGCCTACTTAGTTATAACAGGCATCATTAAACTCTCAGGTCTTGTGAACAGCAGGAGGAAATTAGTATATATAAATAACATGCATTGCTTTGAGAAGAATTTTTCTTTCTTGATCCCTCTAGCCTTCTCTGGCTTTGGATTTTTTTTACTACCAGAGGAAGCATTTGGATGAGAAACCAGTTTCTTCATGCTCACTTTCCCAACTCAAGCTAGTGTGAAAGAGGAAGCGTTTGGACTGTAGCTTCATCTTCCTCTGCATCTTTTTAGTAATTTGCCTCTAGGAATGCCAGGCAGAAATAGTTCCAGTGTCTCGTGCACCCTTCATTTCACATGTGCCAGATACAGATGCTATTTTAATTCCCTTTATTAGTTACTTAGCAACTAAAGGCATCACTGTGCAGAGGGATCCTGGAGATGGCTCCAGACTGCCAGGTGTCTTTCTTGGGAAGAGTCAGGCTCTGATCTCCAATCTCCATTTATAATTTCATATAAAGCACTATACTATACACTACACTATGCTGCCACCCCCATTGATGATACCAAACTTTAAGGGCTTACGTTAAGAATGCATATCTCCGGCTCACGGTGCTTATGGTGCTGAGCTAATGGCCACAATGAAAGAGTGGCTATATTCCTTGCAATTTCTGACTACAACTTTGGAACAACTGAATAAAACCAAATGCAGGTTTTACAGCAAGCTTGAATACTAGATCAGGTGTTGTGAGTTTAAGCTTTGACTGTGCGTGCCCTGACTAAACATATCACTATTGAGACTCAGGTCCAGAACCACAAAGGGACTTAAGCCCTAGCCCACGTACTGGACTTCATGATCCTGAGAAAATCATAGAAAATTAGAGTTGGGAGTGACCTCAGAAGGTCATTTAGTCCAACCCTGAGCTCATAGCAGGACTATCCCCAACTAGATCATCCCAGCCAAGGTTTTGTCTAGCCAGGTTTTAAAAACCTCCAAGGATGGAGATTGCACAACCTGTTCCAGTGTTTTACTACTCCTCCTAATGAGAATTTTTTTCCTAATATCTAGCCTAAACTTTTCTTGCTGCAATTTGAGACCATTGCTCCTTGTTCTGCCATCTCCCATCACTGAGAACAGTCTAGCTCCATCCTTTTTTGAAACCCCCTTCAGGTAGTGGCTGCTATTAAATTCCCCTCCGTCTTCTCTTCTCTAGACTAAATAATCCCTGTTCTCTCAGCCTCTCCTCAGAAGACATGTGCCACAGCCCCATCACCATTTTCATTGCCCTCCACTGGACTCTCCAATTTGTCCACATCCTTCCTGTAGTGGGGGGCCCAAAACTGAACACTCCAGATGTGGCCTCACCCATGCTGAATAGAGGGGAATAATCATTCGCTTGACCTGCTGGCAACACTCGTACCAATGCAGCCCAGTATGCTGTTAGCCTTCTAGGCAACAAGGGCACACTGTTAGCTCATATTCAGCATATTGTCCAGTGTAACCCCCAGGTCCTTTTCTGCAGAGCTGCTGCCCACCCAGTCAGCCCCCAGCCTATACCAGTGCGTGCGACTGTTCCGTCCTAAGTGCAGGACTTTGCACTTGTCCTTGTTGAACCTCATAAGATACCTTTTGGCACAATCCCCCAATTTGTCTAAATTTGTCCAATTTGTCACTCTAAATCCTAGTCCTACCCTCCAGCATATCTACTACTCCCCCCAGCTTGGTGTCATCTACAGACTTGCTGAGGGTGCACTCTGTGCCATCTCCCAGGTCATTGATGAAGATATATATTATATGATTCTATATTGGACAAAACTGAACCCAGGACAGATGCCTGGGGCACTCCACTTGATACTGGCTAACCAACTAGACATAGTCATTGATTACTACTCTCTGAGCCTGATGCTGTAGCCAGTTTTCTATCCACCTTGCAGTCCATTCATCCAGCCCATACTTCGTTAGCTTGCCTGTGAGAATGTTGTGGGAGACCATATCAAAAGCCTTGCTAAAATCAATGTATACCAGATCCTTTGGTCTCCCCATATCCAAAGAGTCAGTCATCTCATCGCAGAAGGCAATCAGGTTGGTCAGGCATGACGTGTCCTTGGTGAATCCATGCTGACTGTTCCTAATCACCTTATTCTCCTCCAAGTGCTTGGAAATGGATTCCTTGAGGATCTACTCCATGATTTTTCCATGGACTGAGGTAAGGCTGGGAAGTATCTAAGCTCCTCACATAGCACACACAGAGTTAAGTGCACAGAATGAGATTCATAAGAACCATTATGCTGAACAGGAAACTGTATAAGATAGCCAGTAGGAATCTTGAGGAAAAAGTTGAGTCTGAAATGCTTAAAATGTTGAGTCTGGGGGCCTAGGCCTCTTTGGCTGCAGGGAAATGCTGTCAGACAGGAATTTGCAGCATGCAACCCTTTCCTAAAACAGGGTGCCTAAGTCCATCTTGTATTAGATGGAGGAGGAGTGGAGCCTCTGCTCCTTTTAAACAAGAACTCAGGAATTGGGGTGATCATCAGGGAAAGGGGAGTTTGAGGTTCCAAATCCTGCTTCCAAGGTTATTTATTTTTACATTAAACAGTTACTGGATAAAATGCCTAAGTGGCCATCTTGCTTTCCCAGAAGAGTGCCCCAATCCTTGAGTCATACAGTTGTGCTCTCTTGTTGCCTCTCTCTAGCCCAATGAAACTTGAATTCTTTCTGGCAAAGTGGCACATGTTCAATAGGAGGATACAGAAAATATTTTCCCTTTCCCCATCCCCACATCTGTGACCTTACTTGAGGCTGAGAAGGAAGTTCAACCAGTGAGCACTGCGATACTGTATGAAAGCAGGGCAACAACCTGTCCATGTCGTTCAGCTGTGTTTTTTGAATGAATATGGTCAGGACCCCATTGTGTTGTGGGAGCTTACTGCTTCAGGTGTATTAGGCCCAGATTGGGTCCCTTAGGGCACAGGTTCCCAACCACTGGGCCACGGCCCAGAAGTTTGGCTGCTGGGCCATGGCACGAGACCCCTGTCTATCTGCCGGGTCAAGCGGCTTCCACCGCTGGCAGTCATGTGCAGGGTTAAAGCTGGGGGGCAGGGCAGCCCTGGGAGGGAGGCAGCTGGCTCCATGTGCCCTGTCCTGCTCTTGTGCTGGTCCACAGGAAAGAAAAAAGGTTGGGAACCACTGCCTTAGGGGAATACTTAATTTTTGGATCCTAATCAAGCTTTTGGCAGTGGTGGATGCCAAGGCAGTTGCAGTTCTGGGCACACATGCAAGCAGACTTGTAGATGTAAAGGGAACTCTCTTTCTGAAAACGTACACATCCATAGCCACTAAGTGCTAGAATTTTGGGCATCACAGTCCTGGACTTAAGCCCCCAAATTCTGCATAAGTCTTTTGCTGGACCTAGACCTTCAAGCTTCCAGTAACCAGAACTACAGCTTTATACTGTACCACTTTTTCCAAACAAATAGCCCTTTTCCTTGGCCTTACTTTCTTAACTTTTTACATATTTTTTTCTCTGCTTTAGCAGAGTCCCTTTTACTGGGCCTCAAAATCCTGCCCTTTCGTACCATAACAGGATCAAAAGTAGACTTGTATATCCTGGTGTTAGAAAAGTGTATTGATCAGTCATAGAGATGGCCAGTTTTTCTAAGACTGGGATCCTGTTATTTCATTTCTACTCGATTTTTTTTTTTTTTCTGCTGCAGCGGCTTCTGAAATAATTTTTTCTTGCTTGTCAGCAACTCCTTCACTCTGGGAGACTGCAGAAATGTCATGCCCTCAGACTAATGGGAAAGAAAACATCCAGGGCTCTGACTCAGCTAAGCAGCTTGATATTCTTGAGTCTCTCCTGCTAATTGGCATTATTGGTCACAAGTTCCAAAATATTAGTCTCTTTGGCAAGAGGATAAAGCTCATAAAAGAGAGCTCATGTTGCCATTTACTGACGGCAACATTCATTGTGGTTTTGTTTTTTGAAATGGATGGAACTAAGTGTGCTCTCTGTAGTGCTCCATTCAAAATCTCCATGGAAGCAGGAAGGGTAGAGAGAGACAGAGGACAGGAGCAGCAGCAGTTTCTAAGCACAGGAGGCCACCTTCCTGCTATTCTTGCTCTTAATGAGTCAGACCTGTCCGACCCTGAAATCAATGGACTGTTGATGTAGCAAAGTACTACTCGGTGTAACGCTGGTAGAATTTGTCTGTAAATGACTTTTTGAACAGAAAATATCTCTGTACAGCTACTTTATACTAGAGAAAATGTGAATTAAGTGTGTCTCCTTTAATAAAAGAAATAGCTTCGTGTTCAAGTTTAACACGTACCTTTTTTGTACAGGCAGGTTAAAACCCCCTTGTGGTACTGTCTCAGTAAAGCTGTGCAATACAAAAAAACATTCCAAGATGTCTTGCAAGTGCACCCCTTGCAAGACTTAGTATCCGTATTAATTATTCCTTATCTTTTTTTTCTCTGTCACATACTAGTAACAGTTCTCATTCTTACCATGCATTTGCGATCATCCAGTCCAGTCAAATCCTCCTCAAACTCCTTTCCTATATCAAATTCCATGATGTAGTTTCTAAAAGTACTTAGCGTTTTAATGATCATATGATCCCCTTTCTGAATGATGTCTTTGTCAGGTTTTAGCAAGTTTGCTATTTTTCTTACAGCAATGTTTACATCTGAAAAAGGAAAAAAAATAGCTCAGTTGTAAATCTTGAATCTACTACAATACAAGACTTTGTAGACCTTGAAATGAATTGCAACCTACATAAATGTTTAACTGACAACTCTAAAATTTATAAGAAGTGAATTTGGTTGAGTGAATCCCGCGGTGTGGGGGAGGGAAGAACTGTAATTTAATACTGTTGGCCAAAACTTGCTACTAAACTAAGCAGCCGCTGAAAATAAATATGAGATGAAGTCCAACTACCAATTAATTTTGATGGCTTACTATAATTGCTATAGTAATATAAGCATTTTACATGTCTACTCGCCAAGCACACTTTTCAAGTTCACACAACACTTTCTCTTCTGCAAAGACTTCAGAAGTCAGAAAAGCTGCTTTTTGAACCTTCATATTCTGCAGCGTAATTTCTGGAGAGGTCAGCTTTAGCATGGTGAAAAGCAAATGGGTTCCTTCAAAACATTTTTCATTAGCAAATCCTAGTGAAGGAAGTATTTTGTTTTTTAAAGAAAGCACTAAAAAAGATGCTGCTGTGATTGTACAGAAGAAGAAGATTCACCTCAGTCCTAAGGTGGCATTTTACTAATACTGATGAAAGAAATATGAAGGGAATCTTACCTAATGCTTTCATATACTCCTCAAAATTTTCATTGCTGACCATTTTCCAGTAACCACTGAAATCCACAGGCATTTCTGGTGCATACAATAGCCAAAAACCAACTCTTCAGGACAGTGTGGTGATTCTGCACCACACAGCTCAGTGCCTGTTTCTGCGGAGAGTTTGAAATCTGGCTTCTTTTTTCTATTCTTCAGACCACACAGTTATGCGAGTCCTTCTAAGCCGATTATGACTGAAGTGCTACCATTAAATCCTTCCACAAAGCTGAACTACTTAGATTTTTAATGACAGCAGGATGGCTCGATTTAAATAGAAAACACTCTTTTTCCCTTCCTCACTATTTCTGCAAGACTACTGGTTATCTGGGTATTCATTTTGTCTGTAATATTACATCCCCCTCATACTTCTTACAAACAAACAAGTCAGATGGCCTTGGCATATGGATGGGTGTTAAAATGAGTGGCTAGCTGTAGTAGACAATTTGGGTGGTTTTTGCAGACAAATCCAGGTGTTTTGGTCTGAGAACATTTCAGTGTTGTCCTTAGTTCCTTCCCATCAGAAGAGGATTCACACAAGTTCTACCAAGGAAAATAATTGTGCATGTGATGTTAAACAATCTAATTTGCTCTGCTTAACTCTCAGAAAAGAGGGTTGGAAGAGAGGCTGCAGTATTAACTGCTTAGGTGAAGGCTCAGAAAAAGTGGGTAATTAGTAGCAGAAATTGTTATTATGGAGTGATGGCTAATTGTAGTTATTGTCCAAAGTCTTAATCAGTGTTGCATATTTTTATTAATCAATGGGCGCATCTACCCATGATGCTACGTCACTGCAGCAATGCACTACAGCAATGCAGCTCATTGCTACAGCGATGTAGCGTTGGCAGGCACAAACTGCGGTGCCAATGCTGTCACCATGGCAGTAAGGTGCCTTGCTGTAATGCATTGCTACAGTGACAACGTGTCTTAAAAATACCCGTGCATCACTGGGATGGTGCAGTAATGGCTGTTACTGTACTGTCATTTAGTACTTTCTTAAGCAAGTACTAAATGATGGCACAATAATAACTGCACCATGGGGGTCGTGTAGATGCACCCAGTGCATGCTTTCACTTAAGGGAATGTGAACAATGTTCTAACAGGCCAAAGTAGAATGTCACAGAGACCCACTGACTTTTGTACTGAATAATGTAGTCCTTTTGATTTATGCTAGCCCCTCCCTCCTGGGGCCCTCTGAAGTGCCAGAGGGGGAGGATGTGCATCTTGCTGGGATCCTGTGACCCCAGCTGACTTCCTGCCTGACTTCCTGGGGCAGGGAGCTGGACTCGATGAACTTCCGAGGTCCCTTCCAGCCCTAATGTTTATGAAATCTATGAAACACTACAGCAAAATGCAAATCATTTTGTAATATTTAAGTAGGTGTTAATTTAGATCCAGGTTCTATATTTATTCATCTTACTCAGAAGCATACTATGCAAACAGGTCCATTTATTTCAGCCTAACAATTGTGTAGTATGAGAACACTCATTGTGAGTAAGAGTGGCAGAATCCTATTCCTTGCAAGTGATTCCAGGAGGAAAGATTTCCTTACCCAGTTGCATGAACACGTTAGGACTACCCAGATAGTGGGTGTTGTGCATGGAGCTCCAATCCTCCCTCTACATCCTAGCACATCTGCCTGGAAGGGGAGATAAGTCATCTGCATACATCTTTTCTCACTCCTCCTCCTCTTTCATTACAGCCATAACTCCTCCTGCATTTCAAGTTGCTCCTACTCGCATACTAACCTCTCATTTTCATTCTATGATCCAGTACAATGAATTTTACTGGATCAGTAAGATGTTAGCTAAGAATGTGGTGGGACAGACTAGGGGCTTAGCATGTCTGGTAAAACTTGACAGGTACAAAATAAGCTTCTTAGCTATTCTCTCATGTGAACAGTACTATCTGAGTTGCATACAGTCATAGTATGCAGTAATCTTTTGTTTTAGACATAAAAACCATATTCTTTTCCATTTGAGCTATCCAGTAACCCAAAGGATACTGCTGAGTTAGGCAATCCCTCCTCAGGCATGGATACAGCTGAACTAATATGGATCTTCAGAAACATCCTCTTTTATTGTAATTTCTGAGTGATGCATAGAAAATAGAATGAAGGATGTATTTTAAAAGCCAAAGCATGGTACAATCTCATTGTAAAAAATGAACTGCATGACAAAAATAGCACAAACAGTCCTTTGAACAACTTCTTACTTGACACACGCATTTGAGAGTCTTTCCAACTCAGTCTATGTTTAGGAAACTAGTAGACAAAGTGGCAGACAAATTTTACCACTTCCATTCATTACTAATACAACCACCTTTCAAAACCTTGCCTGGCATTATGAGGCTTGAGCAGCTTTGAGAGATCTCTGCAGGAAAACCCAGTAGGAAGGAAAATGAGCAAGAACAGAAGGAATAGGCAGGTGTCTAGACAGACATTCACAATAACTCTCCCTTCTGCTATCGTAGGGGACTTGCCTGTATCCCATGATTCCTGACTGACCTATCAACTGGCTGCTGTAAGTTATATCAGATGACCAAACTAATGCAGACTGATCTAATGGATTACAGGAAACTCCCCTTAAATATTTTATGCACAGGACTTGAATTAATTGCTTGCCTGAACCTGGCCTTTATTTCTGATCTCTTTCCAAGTCTGCCAACCCACATACATATTTTGGGCAGTACTAGTTAATGAAGTCACATAGGATCCTGGGAAGTAGAAATGTTGTGATAACATGTATATTTTTAGCACAGTTCATTGAAAAATATGACTAATTTCATTCTCACTGCTGGGAACAGCTGAGACACTTTCACATTTGAGCAGTCCCTGGCATGAGAGGACTGCCGTAGAAGAAAGTACTAAACACAGCCACTGAAGCCATTTTAGTCAGCACAGCAAACCCTTGCCATTACTGGAGATTTTAATACTTATTTTGAAAACACAAATAAAGTGACATAATAACCATTATCTTGTTCTTTAATGAATTAACTCAACTGAAGATCTTAAAACTACTATGGCCCACAGTACCTAACACCTTAGAAAAGCATGGATCCAAAACAACTTCTCTAATTTGAACTTTTTCTGTATAAAATTGTAAGCTTTCAAGAAATGCAACAGTCACAATACAACAGTTCCCCATAACTAGCTTTGCACGTGCAAAAAATGAATCCTTTGGCATCTTCTTTCCTGTTGATGGAACAGACGTCAATCTTTTAGAGTGTTGACTGACATGTTGTGCTGTTTAAGAGGCTGAAGCAAGCCCCCTTCATTTTTCTGCCCACTCTCTTCTGTGTAGATATTATGGTGTTTAATATATGAAATTACAGAGTCTGGAATGAGATACTTCACACTTAATCCTTTGCATAATGCAAGTCGTATCTGTGTGGCACTGATTTCATTCTGAATCCATTCTCTGACCAGGTGGATGTTATGCTCGAATCTCCTTAAAAGCTCCAATTCATTGATGTACTGCATCGGATCACAGCCAGCACGGCTAATGCAAACCAGACCAAACTTTTCTACTATTTCTTTAATATGTTCCTCCTTCCAGAGATTGGGTGTCTTAAATGTCTTCAAAATATCAGCTCCACAAAGCAGCTTTAACTGTGGTAGAACTGAAAACAAGCATAAATGAGGCTTTTAGGAAAGTTATTCTTAAAGATTAACTAAAATCTTAAAAAAAAAAAGTTGGATCAAATATGCTAATTTCTACTATTTTACGCAAGCTTGTGAAAACTTATGAGAAATGTCCTGCTTAGAATTTACACAGAGTATACAGTGCATTGCCCACTGTATAATCTTAATTCATATCTCAAGGTAAAACAAACTCAGTGGAGCAACTTTATCTCCATCTACTTTACCTCCACCTATAGTAATTCAAGGTAGAAAACTATCAAGACACATTTAAAGGCCTGTTTTTGGCTCACAAGGTACTAGGTTGTGTAGAAAAAACTTCAAGAAACTAGCATTTCCCCAATGATATCCATTTCCTGCTCAATATGGGATTGATTTTTTTTGTACTGAAGTTAATAGGAAAACTTGCCTTTACTTGTGAAGGAGCAGGTAGGATGTACCCAGCTACCATTGTCATTCTTAGCAAATATATAAGTGCAGTAATATATTTGATTTGGAACACCATTTACATCCCCACTACATCAGATTTCTGACATGTTGAGGGAGGAGAAGGTAATCATATTTTTTCCAGATCAATTAAAACTGATGCTGCAGTAACAACTTGAATCAAATCTTCCATCTCAGAATTGCTTCATAAATAAAGGCCCAGACTTGAGACTGAGAGATGCTAATCATAATAAACACTTTCAAAATCAGTAAAATATAATGGAAAAATATTGTACAGAGATGCATCCACCCATACAGTGGGCAGGGGAATAATGTGCCCTTGCTCATACAATTACTAGGTAAGAAAAGGTCAGTAAAGAATAAATTAGAATTACAGCAATGTGAGTGTTCCTCCTTTTCTTTATAATGACACAAACCAGTAATAACAACAAAAATAATAATAAAAATGAGGAAGTTCTAAGTACTCTGTGTTGTGCCTAGTTTGTATAAGAAATGCACGCAAAAAAGTTATTAAAAGAACACTATTAAGGTTGCAAAGTTAAGCACTCAAAAATCAGGAAATTCCTGAGTTAACATGACAGAAGGTGTTATCAGGGCATTGAAAGCATGGCAGCTTGTGCTATTTAATTTAGCCCCCTTGGGCACATGCATTGATTTAATTACATGATCATGTAGTAGTTTCTCCTGATTGTGAAATGTGTGGGTCACAAATTATATTTAAAATCCTTCCCTGACTGCAGAATTCTTCATTTACTCTTGGGATATTCCATGTTAGAGAGATAGTTAGCTATGTTAATCAGAAGTCAAGTAGAAAGCAGGGTAGATTTGCAACTTATAGACCAGAGGTGTCAAAGATCCATTTTCAGAGCCCCTTCATCTGGCCCCCAGTACTGCCCTAGGTCTGAATTCACCCACGTGCTGCATGATGTGCACTGAACCAGTCCCAGCACACTATACCCAGCCTGATTCCAGCCAGTCTGGTGGTACAGTGCCCCTTCCCCTTGCTCCATGTGTGACACAGTCCTGGACTAGCCCAAGGGAGAGGCACATATCCTGGACTGGCCAGAGTGAGCACCACATGCAGCACAGTTCCTAGAGCACTGGATTCAGCATGCAGGGGAGAAGGAACAGGGGTCTGTGGGCCTGATTCAGCCCACAGACCAGCCCCATGCCACTCATATGGCCCATGGAACCAGGTGAGTTTGACATCTCTCATGAATGGCGGCTGGGGGAGGGCATGGCGGCAGAAGCGCAGCGGGGGGTAAGCGGGGCAGCTCCCAGTGGCCAGCGGTGTCGGTGGCAGGCTGGTTAGTGGTGACTGCTCACAGGTGCCGCCAACCATGTAAGCAGCGCATTTCTGTAGGGGGTCCACCACCATGCTCAGGGGGTGCATGTGCACCTGCATGCACCCTCTACATGGTGCCCCTGTCACCCCTGTTTATAGACTAACAAAAGTATATAGCACAAGAGTTTGTGGACTGAAGCTCACTTCATCAGATGCTGTGAAAGGACATGCATGAAGCAGTGTATAAGGAGAAAGAAATTTGAATACAAAAGGTAGAACTGAGGGGGAGAAAGTGAAGTGGGGGGCAGTACTGGAAGAGGCAAACAATCAAGCAATAAATCCATAGGAACAAAGGAGTTACAAAAGCTAATCTAGGTAATGGAATAAGAATCTATAGTCTCTGTTTAAACCTTACTTAACACAAACCAGTCTGTGGAAGATTTCTTGTTCCACAATTTCCCATTCAAGTCAGTTTTTAAAGGTTTGCTGCCTAGGAACAGTCACCCTCAGGTCAGTGACTGAGTGTCCAAGGAGGTTAAAAATGTTCTGCCACAGGCCTGCAGCTGTCAGATCATTGTTCATTCACTCTTTCACATAGGGATCACCCCATCCATGAATCCAGAGGCCAGGGGGTGGGGCACAGCGAGCTCCTGCAGGCAGCAGTGGCGCTGTTGATGGCAGGAACGTGGTGGCAGCAATTGGGGAGCTCCCACAGGCGGCCACTGTGCAGTTGGCAGCAGAGGAGGAGGGGGGGAGCAGCAACTGCCTGCAGGTGCCGCCGGCAGTGTCAGCGGCACCGTTTCATAGGGGGTGCACCGCCACGCTCAGGGAGTGTACGTGCACCCATGTGCACCCCCTATGTATCACCAATGACCTCATCTGTCCAATGTATACAACAGAGGGGTACTGTGAACTGATGATAGTGTATATGACATTGGGAGAGTTACAAGTGAATGAACCTTGGATGTTATAATCCATGTTATTCAGTCCAGTGATGATGTGGTAGACTGGCGTGTCAGTGACTAGGAATTATGTAGCCTGCTGCTTGAAAAATTGTGCTATGTATATACTTTGGTTAGGAGACACAGACATTAAGATCAAAAGTATTCACTAATTTTGTTGCTGAATCTGAGAGACCTACAACTTCAGTTCTCTGAGGCCCCATGTACATGTTACACTTAAGACGTGATAAACCAGATAAACCAGACATGACCCAGCCATACATTCAATCAATTAATGATGTAATAAAACAAGGAATAAGCTACAAAGTTATTCCACAGAAATGTGAGAATAACATTGTGACTTGTTCTTATCATGCCATTAACTGAATGTGTGGCTGGGAACTCCATCAGCTGACCGGGTTCTCAGCTTCTGGGGTGCATTACATGCTGCTGTGGCAGTGAGTCCTGCAGATGATGGGGCTTGCAGCCACAGCAGCACCCCATGTTTTTCCATGGCTGCAAGCACCAAAGTTGATAAATCTTGCAACTGGGGAGTGCCCCTTGCATAGCCATGGCTGTTAGTAGAAGTGCACCAATACATTGGTCCGATATCAGATTGGCACCGATATAAAGAAAATTGACTGGATCGGAAATAGGCTTTTTTTGCCTGATGTGGCTGATAATGTGGCTGATAAATGCCCTGTCCATGTGTGCAGCTACAACGCAACACGTAGATGGAGAGGAACACAGCTCGGCAGCTTGGAGAGCTGCATCCAGCTGGTAAGTCTGTTATGGGAGGAGGGGGGTGGGGGGGGGAGG